TACGCGCGCTTGCGAGGTGTCATCGGGTCCCGTTTTTTGCTTGGTTTTCTCATCTTGCAGCCGAACGGCGGCCTTTCCGTAGAGGGAGAGACATACATGAGAACAATAAGTATCATATATGCCGGCCATCCCATCTCCTCTCTCCTGCGCCGCAACACCACCCCGCCAAAAAGACCGTACATGCGTGTAAAACCTGGCCGTGGCCGCTCGAACAAAGGCTTTGCCCTCGCTCGAGGCATCATCCCCTCGATTGCATGTCATGCCTAAAGTGTTGGTGATCATCATTATCAATACCCTTCTCGAGAGCCCCATCACATCACGCCGCCCCGGGCCAGAGTGACTCTGTTGGAGAGAGAGACAGAGACACGGACAGAGCAGAGCCCTGTCGGTGGATTAATACCACCCATACTTTTTCTTACCTTACCTTTACTCTATTCGCGTTGTCCCCTGCTCCGTCCTATATTTCGACCCTTGGCTCGCATTCCTCTCGAGCCGGTGGAGCCCCCTTTACACCATCCTTACCCAACCGGACCCTCAGCCAGCGGACAGGGTCTGCCCCTGGGCCTCTCTGCTCAGCTCAATACCGGATTCGGCAGCCGCTTGTTGGTGCTGGCGGAGCACTCTGGAGTGACACCCCCAGCCCAGGTAACAGGATCACAGGCGATTGGGGGGAAAAAGAAGTTGTGGTGGATGTCATCGATACCCACGACTTGCACAACGAAAGAGGTGGAGGTGGAGGAGGACGGGAAGAAGAAAGCAAGCTGGAGGAAAGACGCCGGCGGAAGAGGCACCACAGCAGCAGCAGCACAGCAGGGAAGAGGGCGAATGAAGGCTGCGCTGGCGCGTGTAGGAGGTGTGATGGGCGCGGTGCCGTGGGCCCCATCACCGCTGTCACGGTCGACTCACAGGCGTCGTGGTGGTGGTGGACCGGGGGCCGTGGACGAGAAGCAGCAGCAGCGACCGCAGCATCGGCTCCAGGGACAGGACCGCCAACCTCGGGGGCCCTGGACGGCGGCAGCGATGCTGGTGGACCGGCATGAGCTCATAAGTTTCCTTGACGACGCGGACGCGGACGATCAGGTCCCTCTGTCCTGTTCTCCCAATGCCGTTGATATTGTTCCTGGCACTGCATCATCGTCTTTTTCATGTTCGTCTTGTTCGTCTGTTTTTCTGTTTGACAACGAAATCACCAGCAACACCAACACCAACGGCAATAATCATAATACTACTGAGGACGATCGCAACATACACAACCACACAGCCACCACCTACGACTACTCATTTCCCCGGTTCCCTTCCTTTTACTCGTCTGCGCGGTCAAGCTTCGACGAGTCGGCTACGGATGTAACCACTTGCCCGTCGACAGCTACAGCTACAACGACAACGGACTCGACGACGGCGACGACGACAAGGACAGCAGCGACAACGGCGACAATGGCGCCCTTGTTCATGATTGGAGGCGGCGGCGGCGCTAAGAACAATGGCAAGACGACAGCGCCGGCGGAGACGGCGGCGGGCGGAAGGACCAGCGACGATGGCGTGGACCGGTCTCACGGCCTCTGGGACTATTTGCACCACGGACTCGACGGCTACAGCTCTCCCGACCTGCGACTGCTGGGCCAGTACAACAGCAGCAATAACAACAATGAGAGGGAGCCGACGACGACGACGACGACGAGCACAAAGCCGCACCAGTCATCAGCAGCAACAAGGACCCAGCAGCAACATCAACAGCAGCTTTCGTCATCGTCGACATATCACCAGACGCTCTACGAACTACGGCCCGACTCGTCCAAGAGCCACCACAACCAGCACCTGCACCGGACGAGCTCCGAGTCTGCGGGAGCCTCTGCGACATGGACGTTACGGAGCGGCAAGAGCCACGAGAAGACCAATAGCGGCAGCAGCAAGAAGACGACGGCCACGACGGCGACCAACATGACGATTCCGACGATTTGCGGCGTGAGGGAGCGGGAGGCGACGACGGCAGCGACGCTGTCTCCTCCCGACGGCTTGACGTCCATCGTCGTGCCCCCGCCAGTCTCGCCCTCGACGGCCTCGTTCGGGGCTGAGATGACGAAGCAGGAGTTTGAGGCATTGCCCGAGGCCATTCAGCGCAAGGTAAGCTATGAATTGTATTGTTGATGATGTCGTCGTCTATTTTCTCTCATGCCTTACACTATCCCTTCCCCCAATGTCTGAGCATTCATTCTCTCATTATTGACATGAGTGTCTGGCTGCCTGTCTGTCTTTGGCGGAACCCCCATCCCTTCCGTCGTTCTATTCCTTTTTTCCATTCTTGTTCTTCCTGATGTTCCAACGGAGCGCCTCCAGCGTCAGCCACCATCTGCCGCTCCGATCTCATTCCTTTGAGAGCAAGTGCCGCGTTTCCTTTTTCTCTCTGTTTTAGCGCGGCCCCTTGTCAAGAAGCCATACCGAGAAACAGGCCGTCCGTGGCGTTTTCTAAATTATTTTCCCTGCCATTTTCTTTCTTCCCCGAGTTCTTCGTTGCTTTCTCTCCTCCCTCTCGGTCTGAAAGTTCCACGGACCGTGGGTTTTTTTTTCTTCTCCTACTTTTCCCCTGGGACCTTTCCCGAACAAGACATTGGCCTATTTCCCCCCAAACCCTTGCCAGCCGGCCAGCCCAACTGCCCCCTGTTCTCATGTGTTCAGGCACACAGCCATGAGAGCATTGGACAGCGCATAACTTTCCTTGGGTGTAATTCCGCTCCAGCCTTTCTACAGGGCTCAAGGCAACGTGAGGTGGTATTGGTAGGGCAGGGACGGCAAAGAGGGCCCAGACCTGCAGCAAGCTGCGGCCCAGAACCCGAGCCCGGGGTATCTCTCTTGCCTCCTCTCGCCTCCACTGCCTCCTGCTGCTGACCAGCTGTTCGCCTGGAGCTCTCGCCTGAATCCCGCGTTCCTGTCTGCCTGCGCAGTTGCAGCCGGGGGCTTTCCTGGTTGGCGCCGACTGGCCGGGGTTGTGTGTGTGGGTTCGGTTCCCCTCACATTGGGATTGCTTCCCGTTCAAGCTCAGGTCCCTGTGGAAGCGAATTGGCTGCTGCTGCTGCTGCTGTGGGTGTTTGGTGTTCATCAGCATCCACCACCCACTGAGACATGCACCCAAAAGAACCGCCCGCGTTAGCCTCAACTGGTCTCCCCTCTCAACCCCTTACCGCACGCACACACACTCACAGCATGCCCCCATCACCACGCATTCTTTTCCGTCCAACCAACACCCAGCAGCCTCTTCCCTCTGCCCCCAGCTGTTCGTCTTCCCCCCACACCTTCATGCATTCGACCCCCAATATCACCTCCGACGCAGCCAGTCAGCGCGGGCGAGAGTGTGTTGTCAGGCACAGGCGTAAGCGTGAAGACGACGTGCGCTAGTCTGCACATGCATGCCAGCCAGCCGCTGAAGAGCGAAGGACGCGCAGAGAGAACGAACGAGAAAGAAGTGAGGGGGTGAGGCACAAACAAACACACGAAGAGAGAGAGGCCATCACGCACTCGTATTGGACAGCGACTCGCCACGACCTTGGTGTTGGGAAGATGACTCGCGAACTGCGAGAAATAACACTTCCCAAAAACAGACAGTCAACAACAACAACACCAGGGTCCTGACGGTCCAATCTCGTCGTGTCCGCGCTCTCGGGACCTCCTCTCTCGCGTGCCCAGCCTCATCTCTTCCAATCCCGTCTCTTTATCGTCCCAACACGGCTCGCCCTCATATTGCCTGCCTTGTCTGGATTATCAGCACACCTACCCGGGCAGCCTGGTCCACAAAATCCAGTCATCGTCAGTCAATTGCCGTTGTGCTAGAGAGAAGAATCCCAAGGGAAGGACCGAACGACTTGTCTCGGTCTGGCTCGTTGCAGATCGGGAGTTGTCAAGCTTGGGGCCGAAGATCCGTCATTGTCTCTCCTCTGTCCCGCCGATATCGTTCGTTCTCGTTCGTCACATCCCTCGCTCCAACAAGCCCCATCCCAAAGCCTAGCATTTGCCGTACCAAAGATTGCTCAAGTACGGCGGTGGTCTTGCAACGGCCTCTCTCTCTCTCTTTCTGTTGGACCATCCCAATTCCCCTTCTCTTCCCACATTCCATGGAGCCCCCCGGGCCGCCAAGTGGTGCCGTTGGCTAAAAAGGAGCATGGAGCTAGACCGGTTGCGCGCATGGTGTCTCTGGTGCGGCGTGGCCTCGCAGGCTATTCCCCCATGGTGTCGTGTATCGTGTCTGTTCGCCGCCCTTTCCTGGCCCTCTTCTGAGCGTCAGTCTGCTCTGCTAAGGTGTGCACTATGCAGAGCTGCAGCAAGCAGCGCAGGATGCACTGACGCGGGCACTGGCGCCGATGCACTGACCTGACTTGACGTGCTCCACGGACGCTTTTCCCACACGTCCGGCCCAGGGCAGGGCGGCATGGCTCTTGACTCCTTGAAGGTGCCGCCGCTCCTTGCCTATTCCGAAGGCCGTTGCTCCTGTCTCAATTGAACACAGGTCGGTGGGCTGTGGCACTCTGCACTTTGGGCTGGACTGACTGGCTGGAGTCTTCCGTGAAGTCATGGATCATCACTACCAGTACCTACCGTAGTAGCCTTGGGACTGGGAGGGAGGGCCTGCTCCCCACGGCACCTCAACCCACCTACTCAATAATGGCCCATCTCAGGTGGGAGTTGAGGTGTTTCCAGTTGTTGGCCATGTACCAGTGTACCTTTCTTTCTCCTTCTGTCTCTGCCTCTCTCTCAAGTACCGACCCCCAAACTCCCAAATGGCTGGATTAAGGCTTTACCCCCAACCCCGAGCTTCGTTCCGAGCTTGCTCTGTTTCTGTCGCTCCTCGTTGCTGATCTCGATGTCTTGTCGGCGGCTGGTGTGCAAGTGATGCAAGTGCTGCGCTGCTGCAACTACTTCTTCTTCTACTCCTCCTGCTGCAACTCAACTGCGGCATCGCTTCCCTCTCCATACTAGTAAAGCTCCATCCGTCATGCACCTCAGCAGATGCAATGCAGGTCCCGCCCACCAACAGCACAACACGACGCAACACGACACCACAGGTACGAACGAGCACAGGCATACCCTACACGGTACGCTCTTCCTTCGCGAGTACCTTAGTTAGGCACAGCGCACGCAGGCAGACCCAGTTCACATTGGAGAAGCCGTACCCAGTCCCAGTCCCAGTCCCAGCCCCAGTCCCAGTCTCAGGCCCAGTGGCATTGGCATTGGTACCGCGCCAGGAACACCACGACCACGGCTCCCGCATTCTCGCTCAACCCCTTCGCTCGTTCCTGCATTAAGACATTGCATGCCCTCGTTGTTTCTCAATTCAATTCCATTCTTGATCTCACTTACATTCCGCCATCCTGCCTTTGTATCGCTGCTAAATCTTTCCACAGTACTTTAGCTCCCTCGAAAGACTTCACTTCGCCAGCCTCGCACCGGCTCCCCCTCAAACACCAAACTTCCTCGACCCCTTCCTGGACCGCCCGGAAACCAGCCCCAACCCCCAGACCCAGACCATCAAGCAGCGCCGCAAGGCACGACAGGCCAGGCTCGCCTCCGACCAAGTCTCCGACCGGGTCAAGAGACGCAACTCTCGCCGGTCCCGCGTCACATCCACCGGCGCCTCGTCTGTCTACGTCCGCCTCCCCGACAAGATCAAAAAGAGGCACATCATCACCGAAGAGCAGCTCGCCTCGGGCCTGAACCGCAGGCACGACATCATTCTCGACCCGGCTGATGAGGCCGTCTACAAGGTCCGAAGGAGAGCGTCAAGCGTCGTAGGACAAGACGAATTGTGGAGCCCGACCTTGTCCGTCCGACCCCAGACCATGGAGTCCCAGCCGAGCCAGAGAGAGGTGAAGAAGTCCAAGCCTGTTCGGCCGGAACAGAAGAAGAAGCAGCTGCCGGAGAAGATCCTGCCGACTTCGCCGACTTCACCAAAGAACAAGCGGGATTCTTTCTACGACAGCTTCCGTTGGCTGGAAGAGGATGACGACTTGGATCTGCGCCTGCACCTTGATGACTACCACCAGAACCTACAAGAGGAGGCGCCAGCCCCGAAACAGCGCAGGCCGTCGTTTCGCAGGCACTTGTCCATATCCAAGATGCCTTTCGGCCGTACCTCTCTCAACATGAACCGGCCTGGCACAACACAAGGCGTCACGAGCAACCCCGGCTCTCCGATATTTGGCAACGCCCCGAGCAGCCCCCAAGCCACCTCTCCGGGTCATGGTCGCCGTAGATCCCGCGCCCTGTCTCTCATCACACCGAAACACAGTCCGCAAGACACCGTGGCGGCATTTGACCCCGAGGCCGCACATTACCAAGATCCCGAGGCCCGTCTAAAGCTTCGTGCGTATCTTGCATCACCACAAAGGTTCGACGAGGTCATTGAGTTTGGGTTCCCGTCCAGGGAAGCCATGTCTCCTGAGGCGGCAAGGAACAGCAAGGACCCCAAAAGCAGACGCTCAAAGGCAGTACCGGCAGACGAGTCGGACAACCTCCGCACTTTCCTTGCGGACGATAGGTCGTCGATATACAGTGAGGATGGTTCTCTCGACTCGGACTCTCCCAAGACGCCTCAGACACTCGAAAATGCTACCGCCCTCCGGCCGCCACCGCCATTGAAGGGCGACAGGGCATATTCCCCTCAGCCGTCGAACAACGAGTACGCAGCGGCCGAGACGAGGGAGATGACGTTACGCATGACCCTTACTCGACCCGACCTGCGGGCTCACGACGACCAGATCTACGGCTGGCAGGGAAAATGCTGCCCTCCCGCGCCCGGCAGGAAATCGCAGTCGAACGCATTGCGAGACGACTTCGCCGCGCCCGCGTTTGCCCGGGATGGGACGTCAAAAGAAAGCATTGAACGTCAGTTCGCGGCCATGGACCAGTGGAACGCTCAGACCAATGACCGAGGCGTCATGAAGCGTTTTTGGAACAAGGTCCGGCGTGGACAAGCATAGTGCTGCGGTATGGGATGCTTGACTTGCTGCAGCCCATGCTCAGACCCTTTAATTCGAACCGCAAATTTTACGACGCCCGTTAGACTCCAACAGCGAGATTGCAAGACTCGACGTAATGACACTAGCAGCACTGTTTCTTATACCCCCAAATCAAATATGTATACATATTTATTTTCATAGTGTCTATTATCTCCCTTTTGTTCCCCGAATATTCTCTCAAGAGCGATTTTTGTGTGCGCGGAAGGGGCTTCACAGCCAGGAGTTGGAAGACGGTGATAGCGAGATGCATAAGGGGTGGGAGGAGTTACTGTAGGGAGATGGGAACTGCCGCGGTTTCCGCCTGTCACTTTTTTATTTCATCACACGCACAGAGTGATGGACCCGTCCAGAGAGGCGGATCATTGCTCAAAGGGGAGAAGGATAAGATGGGTTGTAGCGTAGCATTCGTCAACGGCGTCGCTCACAGGCGTCCGCCCCCTCTCACAAAAAACAGAAGAAGAATTAACTCCCACTTGTGCCGCCGCGACACGTTTTTTGGTGTCTGATTGGTATGTGACATGCAGGAGACGTGAACGTGTCCGTGGGAAGGTTTGGGCTGCGTTGCATTCCGTGCTTGTCACAGGACAGAATCGTTCGAGGTGCAGCGTGTCAGCGTTTTGGGGGCAGGCAGGCAGGTAAGTGTGCAAGCGCTGCGAGGGCGGTAAGCAGATTACAACGCGAGGATCATGGCGTTGGACGGGCGATGGATCGTCGCAGGATTGGGCACGACGGCACGGGTGGTGGTGCTGGCATGGGCAAGAGAGTGTGTGAAGCTGAACCCAGGAACCTGGTTGATAGCTCCCTCGGCGTTAAGCCACTCGGACGTCGTGCTTGTGTGTGTGAAACAGAGATTATCTCCTACTGCAGCTGCTGTTGCTCGTCGCGCTGGGAAGGAGGAGGATGACATTGGCATATTTTGGATAAACGGCGGTCCGTGGGTACGTACGTATGGGATGTGTATAATGTGTAATGGTGATGTGATGAGACGGGGCATTGGGATGTGATGGAATGGGAATTGGGATGGGATGGACCCCTGGATCTATTACTTCTTGCGGGCAGAAATCTAACGGTAGTCGGGCGGTTTGATCGTGACTGTGTCTGCTTGCGGTGTTTTGCGCTCGGGGCTCTCTCTGGCTTTCATGTCTGGTGTTGGTTCGCGTCACGGCTACGGGATGAGGGGGCGGGGGGACCTCCGTCTCTCTCTGCTTGGGGAAAGAGGAGGTAGCCTGCCCTGTTCTGTACGAGGTCAGATCATCACCGGCGGGCTTTATTGGGAAGCATGTTGCTGGTCTTTTCCTGTCATGCGGTAGTGGTATTTCCATTCTCGGTGGGTGGGGGGAGATGATTTGAAGCGTGGTTCGGAAGGGTCGTCTTCCGTGGGTTATCGGGGTTCAATTTGGGGTGCGGGTTCAATTTAGGGGTGGTTTCGTTTCGTGAGGTTGTTAGTGTCCCGGCACTTTGGGGGGACGGGGGGACGACGTCGAGGGGGTTCTCTACCTGTGGCTAGAACGCTTGAGAAGGAATGATGCTCCTTCTTTTTTTTTTGTGATGGGAAACGGGCGCTGGGGGGTTTTGGACTGGCTGCGCCCGATGTTCAGATGATTTGAGCACGATTACATTGTCATGAGGCGGTGTGGTTTTTTTCTTGCAGGGACGGTTGTGATGCACAGTCTTTTTGTGAGGTATTGGGGGAGGAAGGGGGAGGGAGCTTGGACGTCCGAGACTTGTTGCTTGATTTGCCCATAGTACAATGCCACGTGCGCCTTGGTAAATGCTTGCTCCCCTCTGGTTCCTGGCAGGTTTCGTTTCGGAGTGCTTTATTTTATCTCCGCGGGAAGGATTTGTGCAAAACGAAACATTCTGGATTGGTGAAACGGGGGGTTGCCGGGGGAGGTTGGTGAGTTGGTCACTTTGGGTGGTATCGACGGTGACTTTGCGGTTGCATTTGGTCGGGTGGGGAGGGGGCATTAAGCTTGATGGACGATTCTCGCCTGATTCTTGAGTCGCAGCAGATTGTCAGTTGTCAGTCGGGAGGGAAAACCATGTGGCATGAGCTTTGGCAGTGTGGAGTTCGTCATTTGGGCGTGTTGGCCATGTGAACAGGCGCCGGGCAAGATTGCGGTGGATGCTTTGGTGTCTGTCAATGATGAAATTTGACGATCACTGTTTGCGCCTCTTGTTTGGGGAGGGACGGATTCAGACCGGATCGGCGGGCATGGCGCCCTGATTGAGTCCTGTGTTCGGTAGTGAACTGAGACTTGGGGCGGCAGTGGAGACCGGTGCTGGTGGGAGCCGAGACAGGTCGGAGGAGGCAGTTCGGGCCGAAGGGTGATGATGACGCCCGGAATCAGGTGGCTTGATGCCACAGGAGGTTTGTTCCTGGCTTGCGTCCATTACCGTCAAGGTCGGGCATCTAGGCGCAACGACGATCATCCGTCTCCGGTGGTGAGTGTCCGGGAGTGGGGCCGGGACCGGCGCCGGGTTTTGTATCCACTGCCTTATCGGGAAACCCAGCTTCGTCGGTACAGGTCTCATAGCACACGTAGATTCTATGATCGTGAGGCGTGGGGAGTGAGGAATGCTGCGTAGAAGCTGTAGGCTACATTTGAGCTGAGACTGGACCAAGTCTGCGAGCGACGATGCCTCGGTCTGTGGAGGCATCTCAGCATCAATTGGCCGTAGACCCGCGCCTCAGGATTTTCGCTCTGTAGAGCACCTGTGACGGTTTGAGCCTGGTTCACAATGCAACGGCTGTGTCTTGTGTGTGTTGGTCCAGAGAAGTTTGTTCCCCTATGCGGTTCGTCATGACGAGACTGACATGATCCTGCCCCCTGGTGCTTCACACCACGCAATGCGCTCAGCTACTAGAATTCATCCGTCTACAACTGGTGATGGAAATGTAGAATCCCAGAGGCAAATATAACGCTGCATTGCAATGCAATGAGCTTTTCGATGCAGTCACGTGATAGCGCGCTTGTGGAACCGGGTGGGTCCCAGGTGGCCAAACGTCACGGCCAGAAATTTTGGCGCATTGTGCACTGAGATCCCGAGGACTCATGGTGAGGGCCGCCACTCATCACAATCTCTTCACAAAATCACTAAAATTTTGCCAGAGATGTTGTCCAGATTGAGTCGGCCGTCTGGCCGCTTTCAAAGTCTCACGGCTAGGACGCCGGTTCCCTGGGTGGTAACCGGGTCCAGCCTTCAACAGACCCACGCTAGCCCATCAAGAGTGAGTACCCCGGTGAAGGCTCTTACATCGAGAATCACTTGACTAACGCGCAAATTCAGTCATGTGGCCAAGACCGGGGATTTGCGAATGTAAGAGGTGGCAGAGGACGCGGCAGGGGAGGACGGGGAGGAGGCGCAATGAGACCCCGGGTGACATCCCACGACCTCTCCGCCGAGGAAATGGAGAGGATTCGTGAACAGTCCGATATCAGGGACCGTCTCCGAGCCTGGGAGTCCGAGAACCACATCCCCGCCAAGCGTCTGCTGTCCGATCTCCCGACAAGAGACATTCCGCTCTCCAACTACTTAACCAGGCCTGATATGCTTCCGGGCTCGACGGAAGCGATCAACGGCCAATACACCGATTTCAACGACAACAAAAGCCAGGCGAATCGCGCTCTTTATGACGGCGATGAGTTGGAGGACCTGAGAGGGTCTACGTCGGCGCTTGTGGCCGGTGATCTCGTGGAGACGAGGTGAGATTCGAAGTGCCATGACAGCACAACGGCTTTGCTAACAAGACGCAGGTATGGATCAGGCCGCTTGCCGATCCTGGCCATCTGTCTCGGCGATCACCACGGCCTGAAATACTTTTACATGAGCACGGGCGAGGTCGTCCCCGAGCAAAACATCCCCACGCTCTTCACCCTCACCAACTTCATCAACCCCGCCAGCTTCCGCCACATTACAGACATCATCCCCCCGAAGCCAGTCTCCAACCCCCGCAACGTGCTCTCCCACCGCAAAAACGAAGACGCTCTCGCGACCGCCGCCCGTCTGCAGGAGGCCCTGACAACCTTCCGCGCCAACTCCGTCTCCTTCTACCAGGCCCACGACAAGCTCGACCACGCCAGCACCTTCCTCGCGCTCCCCGACAAGCCAGACTACTTGAGCCTCGAGGAAATCGCAGAGAAGCTACTCCCCGAATTCCTCAAGGTCAAGGACAAGTTCTCCCCGCACGCCCTGTACGCCGTGCACTGCGCCCTGCAGCGCGACGAGTGGGGCTTCCGGCCCCTGAACCTCCGATGGCACCGGCGCAACTACATCTACGAGGTGCGGCCTGCCTCCGACGCGCGCATCCTGCGCAGGACGGAGATCCAGGTCCGCGAGCTGATCGAGGGCGCGGCGCTACGCGAAAAGCCCGCCGAGTCCCTGACCCTTTTGAAACAGAACAGCCTCGGCCAGTTCATCCTCAAAGCGCGCGGCGTCATCGAGGCCAGCCGGAAGAGGAGAGAGTGGACGCCGCACGGCATGATTGGGCCCAGCGAGAAGGAGGCGGACAAAGTCATGATGTGGAGCAACCGGGACCTGGACTACATCCGGTTCATGGAGCTCTGGGCCTGCCACCGCATCGTGCCCAAGGCGTCGCAGCTCGAGACCCTTGGCTCCACGATCCTGCGCCTGACAAACTGCTACACCCAAGACGAGTGGCTCGCCCACTGGACCGCCTTCACCTTCCTCCAAGAGATCGGCTGGATCCCGCCGTGGGACATCCCGGCCCGCTACGAGTACCGCTTCCCCGATACGAAAGTACACAGAGGCACCCCGATAAAGATGCCCCTTGTCGACGTCAATGCCTCCCTCAGGCCGGACATTGCCGCCGGGAGCAGACGGGACTGGGGCGACACGACCGTCTTCTGTGTTGACGCCGAGTCGACGACAGACGTCGACGATGGCTTCTCCGTCGAATCTACTAACACGCCCGGCGTATACTGGATCCACGTCCACAT